CCCCCCCCCCCCCCCCCAGGCTTTCTTTTTTTCACTTTCATCCATCATTTTACAGAGGGGGGCACCTTGGACAGGCAGGTCTTGTCACTAAGGAGCAAGGTCCGCTTAAAGCCAAATAGTTGAATCCTATGACACTGGAGTGAAGATAACTTAAAAGGGTCAGTCATTAAAGAAAAACTACCCACCCCTTTCAAGAGACTGAGGTAAACCTATTGCAAGATTCAAGCCCACTCAGAAAGTTTGAACTTGATTGCTAGCTGTAAGGAAAAAAAAGAGCAATTCTTTATTTGCATGTGTGATTTATCATTCCCAACACCTTACCTGATTATAAATATCATCAGATCTCAGTCTGCCGATCACCATGTTGATGAATGTATCACTAATAGGCACCCGATTGAAGTAGCTCTCAGGATAATTCGGGGGGCGTTTAGATCCTGGCTGGCTGGAGTAGCCGGTGCTACGCAGAAGCTTACAAATATCATCCATATTGGAGTCAACAGACGATCTGGCGGCACTGAATACAGATGAACATAATAATTCACCAAACTGAGTACACAGCCTGATATGGAACAGTCAACCTGAATTACATAATCTTAGGATTCTGCAGAGCACAGCGCTGTAAATGTATTTCAACTTGTTACATGGTTTGCCTGGAGTTCAGATTTTACACAACCTTATGGGACAATTCTTCTAGTAGTGTTTGTGTAATAAAGGAGTACAAGTTCCATAACCACATAATAAAGCAGTTTGTGATAGAGAATACACAGCTCAAGCTTTTCCAACATTGAAGCACTGGGGCACAGGATATTGGGCAATATGCAATAGAGTAAATAGCCAATTACCAGAGAAAGAGGCAAGGTCTTCAGACTAAAATTATACAAATAAGGCCGATGGATACTCACCTATATCTGTAGTATGACACCAACATCCTCTCCCGCACCTCCCCTTCAATCTTCTGGTCAATTACCAGCAGCATCACCCCATACAGGTACAAAGCTTCACACTATGCATCACAAAGCAATTTGATCAGTTCATTTCAAAATTACATGTACATTTTTATTATAGACTTTACTGTATATGCTTGCAGGTTCTCTTATTAAGGACACCTACTCGATAGCCCAAAAAGCCAATTATGTGGCTGCAATTCAATACAATGTATAAAGCATGGAGAAGGAATTAGCTTTGGCCATTGAATGATTGTTGGTGTTATGTATGGTGATCAAAGCATAGCAGAAGCTCGAGCAACTGTCTACGCCTCTATATTAAGTAGGAATGCACTGATACCAGTCTTTCGGTATTGAGTACCGATATTTTTTTTTCAGTACTCGCCGATACTGAATATCGATTTTGCAAGTCCCATTTAGGAAGCCGGGCTGCATGTAATGACATGCCACCCGGCTTCCTGATTAGCTGGGAAGCTGGATGGTGAGTAATGACTCACTGCCCGGGAAGCCGGCTCCATGCTCACCAAGTGACGAGGGAGCATGGAGCCGGCTTCCCAGGCCAATCAGGAAGCCGGGCAGCTTGTAATGACTCGCTACACCGGATTCCTGATACCGGAAGTTCTGGTATTGGGATAGGCATCGGGAGCATTTGGGCGAGTACAATACTAGTATCAGTGCGTCCCTAATATTAGGCTATAACACAGACTCCAGCAACATGTGGTAACCTTAGGTATAGTGGATATCTTTTACTCACTAAGAGTTGCTTCCCATCTTCATTGAGAAGGACGGTTTCCAGGGTTTGCTGGATATAAATTCCTTCATTAAGGTCTTCCAAATACCTGAAACCAGAACATACATTTACTTACAGATAAAACACTACATATTAGCTAACTGAAATAACATGTACTAATAATTGAAAGATGAGAAATGAGATGATTTAAATTGAAATGATTTCCATGTCTGCGGCCACCAGCACAGGGCGCCAGACTCCCTTGTCATTGCTGTTCTCAAGGCAAACAGTGATTGACCCTGACAGACAATTTTAGGCGACTGCTATTGTTTTCTCTCTGAAATGGCCCATCCAACCTCCAAGGGCAGGCATTTTACATAAAAAAATCAAGTAGTTGGATCACATCTATGTACATGGCCAGACATCAATGCTTATGGTCAGTCTCTTCTAGTCCAGCCTACGGACCTATGATGTTAACACATCTAATGCAGGTCCATTAAAATGTGAGGACGTTGAGGGACATACCATAAATGGAGGGGGAAAGAGGAGGGCGGTAACTGACAGAGAATCGTGCAAGTATTTCTTCTTTATTTTCACCCCTAGACCAAAACGAGCAGTTAACCCTTGCAGTGCGGAGGTTGCCTCCCAAGGCAAGGGTTAATTTTTAAAAATCCTTCTTTAAAGGAAAGTTGTCAATACTAAATCATGGAGGGTGCAACAGGTTTATTTTAAGACCCTCTTTGCATCCTATCTACCAAAAATTCCCTTAAGATGGCCAATCAGCTGCAGCCACTGTCTGGGTATTCAGACAGACAGCCTTAGTTTGCTCCTTCACTACTGCTATTGGATGCTGGGAGCAGTAGGAGTCACTCAAGTCATAGCTTACACATGGCAATTGACTCTGTGCTTGGCCCAGAGCTATCACATGCAATGGGCCATATGCTTCTCCATACCCAGAAGTACCAGGTATTTTTTTTTTTTCACTCCTGCCAATTTAAAAGAGTTGTGGGTGAGCAGATTAAAGTGAGTATGTGCTGTTGGATGGCGGGTGTAAAGTAAACATATAGATTTTTTTCCTGCATGGGCAAAGTACAGGTTAGCATTAATGGACACATTTAGAGAAGAATACCTTTGAGAAATCCCTTCACCCCCATGAAAGCAGCTCACAGGGCATATTTTCCACCTTACCCGATGCAGCGATCTTTCGTCTGAAATGGTCCAGACAGGCTTCTCTCTATTCTGAGCATGCATGCCACCACCCTATTTATTCCTATGAGTAGCCATACACCTCTAGCAGTCCTTAAGAGTACTGATTACCCACAGGAGTGAATGCGGCCACTGCGTGCAGATGGGTAATGATGAGGAACCAGCCATAACCTTGTGGCATTCATGTATGCTAAATTGGTGGGGAGGGGAAGTATAACCACTGGTTGGCTGCACCTAGGGGGGTGAGGGGATGTATTAAAGACAACTCTGCTAAAGGTAATGTTGCCTTCAATGCGGCAGTGAGGAATACAGGAACTACAAAGATTAATACCGTACCTATTTAAATCCACAATGTACTTGTGAACACTCTCAAAGGCCAAATAGAACCTTGTGAGGATTTCTATGTTGTTCTCCCGAAACTCCTCATCCAGGTCCTGAAGTTCCGGCTTGGCCTCCAATTTCCCCTCATAATTCTCAGGGCCCTGTGGAGAGGAATCAAATTATACTATTACTGCTGCTAAGCTTTATATAAAGTGTTTATTCTACATTGCAAGTGCTCCATTTTCCATGTTAGTATACGAAAGCACTGTGAATCATAAATTTTCCCACAAAACACGGTTTTACTTTCTTTCAGCCTTTTTTTTCATGTCAGTGCTGATCTCCTCCAACCTTTTTTCAGCAACTTGCTGTCTACATGCACTCATTCCAGTGTTGGCTGTGCATCATTGCTCTGCACTGGCTTCCTGATAGTAACAAAGCACATTGGGGGGAATTTAGTAAAAGAAGATAGAAGATGGAGCAGCTGTGCATGGTAACCAATCAGCTTCTATAGTCATCTTGTTTGGTTAAAAGGAGAATTAGGGGGAGAGTGAAAAACACTCATCCCCCATAATTCAAGCCGACCTGTGACAATGAAGTTGTCACAGGTCGGCTTTATTGATCGGGAAGTCACATATACCGCCGATCGCTGACTTCCCGATCATCTCCCTAAAGAGAGCGGTGACGGTCAAGGGATTCCCCCCTCCGATCCTCCAACGCTGACTAGAGGGACGGATGGGGGAGGGGGCGGGCACAGCTGGCTCTGCATCTAGATTGACAGCTTGCTCTGCCTATCAGCCTACGGTGTGGATCTCGACTGCATTGCCGGGATTCGTCCAGGCTGCGGCGATCTCAGTACATAGCGGTCAATAGCTCGCTATATAGTTTTTGGTCACGGGAGGTTAGTATATGTCCTCCCGTGACCCTGAAGAGAACTATGGGATAAAAAGGTTACCCCATAGTCCTCTTTTAAGCTTCAAAAAAGAAAGCTAGAAGCCGATTGGTTACCATGCACAGCTGCTCCAGATTCTGTCTGTCTCCAGTCTTAGTAAATTCCCCCTCAATGTGTTTTGGTATGCTTGTAGTCTCCACCAGAGATGCATGTGACAGAATGACAATGCAGAAATACATCTGATAGACAGGGACAGATCGTTGTCACCCCATAGCAGAAATGACTGAACAAAGACCTTCATGGCAGGATCACCAGGCATGAATAAAAAATATTACTAAACCTGCAGATTTAAAAAGATGGAAAGCGACTATAGAAGTTATATTTACATTGTACATATAAATAGGATTGTAGTGATCGAGTTTACTTTCCTATTCATTATTTTTTAGTATTGGAGTTTTATTGTTGTCCTCTGCTGCTGACTTACTTTGAAGTAGCTGAAGTCAAATATAATCTCCCCATATTTCTGTTGGTCGGCCTTGTCCTTCAACCTAAATACCCCGGGAACGAACTCAGACAATCTCAGGAGCTCTGCGATGATGGCGTTGCCCCGGGAGACGATCCGCAGGATGGCCTGCCCACAGAAGTTGTTTTCAGCTAGGAAGTCCAGCATTATTGCTCAGCTGGTGCAGGAGGAAGGGAGAACCTGTATGAAAAAAAACTTACATAGTGACACAAAAAAAGAAACTCAATGGTAGTCTGAAAAACGTTATAGAAAAAGTTCCAAGACAATCCTCTAATCCTTGAACTGGGCTGGACAAATCCCAGGAGAGGGTTAGCTAATGTTCCTTAGGGGAAATTTTTCTTAACCCGAGCAGAGGGGCTACACCCGTACTTCAAGGGTTAAATGCTGGTTTTGTTCTAGGTGCAAAAATAAAGTTATACTCACTGGGTCCTCGGATGTGACTTGCTGTTAGACCGGTCCTTCCAATGTCTCTCCCCCCTCTGCTGCAATGGTCCAAGGTCCCAGAGTCATCATCACGTCCTATATACAGTGTATAGGACGTGAGGACATTGAGGGACATAATATCCCTGCAGCGGAAGAGGAGAGTTGCTGGAGGGAGCACTGTAGAAGCCCAGCAGCTCCGAGGATCAGGTGAGTATAACTTTTTTTTATTATTGTACCTAGAAAAAAAAATTAGCACTTAACCTTGCAAGGATAAGGTGAGGAAAAAATTCCCTCCGGGTCTTCTTTAAAATTTATAGCTGGCGCCTACATTTTGAGGATTTCTCTTGTTGTCAATAGAGCTAATGCCTAAAATAAATCCTGTGGGCTCCTGGATTGGACAGGCTGGCTCCTGAATTCCATTTTAATTTGTCCTCCCTTGGCTTTGAATAAAGCTGGCCATACACCTATAGATTATCTGCAGATTTTCTATGGTCAATGGGAAAAAGTGCAACAGATTCCTCCATCTACGCTAAACTGTGTGGATGGAGGAACCTCCCACTGGGCCAAGCTTCAGTATCTTGCTAGTCGGCCCCGCTGGCTCTCAAAACACCTGAACAATGCCGGCATCCAATCAGATTGTTCAGGTATTTTGACAGCCAGAGGAGGGGAAGGCTGACAAGGCGCCAGCGATGACAGAGGAGGAAGTGAAGGCTGATAAGGGCCAGCGATGACAGAGGAGGAAGTGAAGGCTGACAAGGAGCCAGCGATGACAGAGGAGGACCCAGATAGCAAGCAATTGAGCTGCAAGTTTGAAAATGACTTGCTAAACTATTGCAGACTTGCCGAGCTTCACAATGTTGTTGCACAATTACACCAAGTCTGCATTGCAAGTCTCCAGATCAACGTGCTTTGAAAAAGTGCTTTACACTTGCAGAGCTCTTGCTAAGACCTGCAGGACTCTTGCTGTAGACTTGCCAAGCAAATTCAAAAAGTGTCAACTAGAACTTGTGCTGCAAGTGTTCTGCAAGTCTACAACTTGCCAGGAATGTGTGCAGCAAGTTAACAAGAATTACAATTTAACCCTGCCGCAAGTTTGTGGCGAGTTATCCTTGCTATCTGGGGAAGTGAAGGCTGACAAGGGACAGTGATGACAGAAAAGGAAGTGGAGGCTGACAGGGACAACGATGACAGAGGAGGAAGTGAAGGCTGACAAGGGACAACGATGACAGAGGAGAAAGTGAAGGCTGACAAGGCGCAAGCGATGACAGAGGAGAAAGTGAAGGCTGACAGGGACAGCAATGACAGACTGGGAACACCTACCTGTATCACAGTAGCTGTGCCGTGCCCGCCATTCTACCCCCAGAGCTTCATTACACACACACTGACATCCCATCACATGACCTGCCACCAGTCCGTCATGTGATCCCCGTCGCCTTTCCATGACGTCAACTCGCGCCCGCTGCCATGACAACCTCCCAGGGATAAGCGGGGCCTGAGGGAGGAGAAAGTCGCGCGTTGGAGTGTCATGCCGCGCTGGGACTGGTAGAGGGATAGCGGCGAGCAGGTAGGGGCTTCTCCCGGCCGTGTACTGATAGAGGATTACAACTCCCAGCATGGCTTCGTAGTAATCACCGGCCCTCAGCAACAGGGATGGTGACAGAGGCAAAGGTTGGAAATCATTCTCAGGGACCTGAATCCCTTCCTGCCCAGTCCATGTAGCACTGTACCTCTTATTGTTATCTCTCCCCTCCTTCCCTCAAAGTATTTGCCAGGTCTAAGCAACCTTGGCCCCCCCTAGCTGGGGTGAAACTACAAATCCCATAATGCTTCTGTCTCTTGGAGTCATGCCTGCGGCTATCATAGTCTTGCATAGCCTCATGGGATTTGTAGTTCCTCAGTAGCTCAAGGGCCCAGGCTGCCTATCCCTGGTATAGACTGTGTGGTTTGGGAATGTGCAATATTTGCATACAAGTGTGAATGGGGCCTAAAGGTTGGAGTTCTTCCGGATCATGTGATCACCCAAGACAGCCACTCATAGTAATTGCATGCAAAGGAGAGGTTTGTTTACAAACAAACTTCTACAGCCTGCACATGGCACAGTCACACAGCATTGTCACATGGGGCGGAGGGGCGGTCCTTAGCCCTGTGCAAGTTCCAACACAGTCACAAAGCTTACAGAGGCCTTTGTTTTCAGGGTCCTGGCGGGCAGGGAAGGTAAGCATCGGTATCCTAGGGGGTGGGCCATGAAGAGAACCTGTCACTGTCCCCTGAATCTTATTCACAAATAAATAACCGCAGGGCTTTTCCTTCTCTGTTTCACATATGTGGTTGAACCCAGAAATATTAATGATGTAAGAACTTCAGCCAATCCAAAATACCTGTGCCAAAGGATTCACCCCATACAGTCAGTGTGAGCAGGCCTGCCCTATGCTGGCACTCGCCACACGTTTATGAGAGCACCTATTGTGAATGGAGGGCTACTTAGAAACGCATAATGAGGGAATATATCAAAACTGGAGCAGTTGCCCATAGTAACCGATCGGCTTCTATTTTCAGGTTGGCTTTGAAAATGAAAGGTATAAGTTGGTTGCTATGAGCAACTGCTCCATATTCTGTCAGCTCCAGTTTTGATCATTTCCCTCTCAGTGTAACAAGCATTTAAAGCAGGGGTAGCCAAACTCCAGCCCTCCAGCTGTGGTGTAACTACAAATCCCATGAGGCATTGCAAGATTCTCACAGACATGGTTTCCAGAGGCAAAGGCATCATGGGATTTGTAGTTTCACCACAGCTGGAGGGCCGGAGTTTGCCTACCCCTGATTTAAAGGAACAGATTCCCTAATGGTGAACATCCACCTGAGGACGGCACCTGAACACGCAGTCCACTAGTCTGAAGCCCCTCTATAGCCACTCTTCAATTCATCCCCACACAGCTACCTCCTCATGTATCACTTGCCCCTCCCTTTTTAGATTGTAAGCTCTCTGCTAAACCCTCCCCCCCCCCATTTTGTCTTTGTAAGTAGCTTTTAAATACTTGAATAAGCCGCGAGGGAACATGGAGCTGGCTTCCCGGCCAATCAGGGAAGCCGGGTCCATAGTATGGCCCGGCTCTTGATTGGCCAGGAAGCTGGCTCGATGCTAATTGGCTGGTAAGCCGGCTTCCTGGATAGTCAGCATGGAACCGACTTCAAGGCCAATCAGGAAGCCGGGCAGTGTGTAATGATCCGCCTCCTGGCTTCCTGATTGGTCTGGAAGCCGTCTCCATGCTGATTGGCCAGGAAGCTGGCATCCCAGCCAATCAGCACCTAGCCGGCCAAACAGCATGGAGCCAGGTCTAACTCTGCAGAGGAACATGTCAGAGCTCTGCAGTGAGACTACTGCTTCCTCAGAGAGAGCAAGGATCCCACTCTATAGCTTGCTGGCAAGCGACAGTCTTTTTTTTTACCCAGGCTGTGGCCAGTTTAGAAAAAAAAAAGGCTTTTTAAGACATTAAATGCCCTTTATTTTGATGCACCTAAAATGTATTTAGCCAATTTATACTGAAAGCTCAGGGCTTGTTCACACCAAATTCAGACCGGATCTGCATGAGTTTCTGCACACGCAGTGCAGTGGGTTTTGCCACGTTTTTCGTCACGTTTTTGATGCGTTCCTGGCCGTTTTTGGTCAAATGAAAAAAATCTTTTTTTTTAAAATGGGCTTTCAGTGCGTTCCAGGGCGTTTGTATGCGTTTTTTAAAGCGTTTGCATGCGTTCCAGAGCAGGTAAAATAGGACTTACTGCAGTTTTTTTACATGCACTGGAACTAAACGTTGCGGTGTGAACTAGAGCCCACAATACTATTGGAATACATTGGACGCAGTCTTGATCCGGTCTGCAACTGCTCTGCTCCTGGAACGCCCTTGGTGTGAACAAGCCCTAAATCGGCTTTGAGACAGTTTTCTGCGTCCGTCCTGCAACATTGTTTTATTTCCTGTTGATTCTGCCAGCAGATCCATTATTTCTCCTCTATCTTTAATGGATTAGTAAAGTCCCAGCATCTCCTCTCCAGTTATAACATCAGCATTGTAATAGGAATACATAGGAGAGATGTTTCTAAAAAATACAATCAAAGCTTACTGGAAAAAATCCCTTTTATGTAGTGAGCGCTGCCTTCCGTCTGCCCGTCACTTCCAACTACTTCCTGGATTCCCAGTGTGCTTTGCGTCTCTTTTCCTGCTGCTTGATGTGATGCAATCTCCATTTTTCAAGACTACATAGTCCATCATGCACTGCTTCCAGCAAGCAATGATGATGTTACATTGTTCAGACTTTGAGCTGTAGTTCAGACAGCAGTGGTGACACCAGGAAGTGCATATTCATAGTGTTGAGTGAAATGGTGTCAGTGCATTGAGGAAGTCCATCCTATGGGCATCTTCAATAAGTAAGTTTGCAAATTTCTAGATGGATCTGGTTATTACAAGTGGGATAGAACTTATGAAAATTCAGTACAGAATTACAGATTTATTTTTTGACCACAGATATCCTTTAACAGGGTGACAACGCTCCTGTGCATTTTCACAATAGTTGTGTTTTTTAATGGACTCTTAAGAGCTCTGCCTAGTTGTATGTGTGAAAAACAAAAAGATACATTGTTGCATTCCTTACCGGAAACAGTATTGCAGTCCAAAGAGTTCGTTTATTGGAACGTCATGTCACCAAAACTAGCGCTTTTGGGGCCACGCAGGGTCGCCTTCATCAGGCTCAGCAATGACCAGTGTTTGTAGTTGTATGTGTGATCTCGAGGTCACATGACAGAGGGTATTTTCATCATTTTGTACATACTGAATGGGGTTTATGATTATTAATTAGGGATGCACCGACCAAGTAATGGTACTCGCCCAAATGCTCCGATGCCTACCCCGATACTTCCGGTATCAGGAAGCCAAGCAGCGAGTCATTACACGCTGCCCGGCCTCTTTATTGGCCGGGAAGCCGGCTCCATGCTCCCTCGTCACTTGTGACAAGGGACCATATAATGACGCGGCGCCAGGCTTTCTGATTGGCCCGTGACGAGGGAGCATGGAGCCGACTTCCCGGCCAATCGATAAGCTGGGCGCCGTGTCATTACATGATTGGCCAGAAAGCCAGCTCCATATTTTCTCGTCATCTAGTGACGAGAAGCATAGGGACGGCTTCCCTGCTAATCGGGAAGCCGGGTGGTGAGTCATTACACGCCGCCTGGCTTCCTTAACCAGTTGACATCCGCGGTGTTAAACCCCCTTCCCATCCAGGCCATTTTTCAGTAAGGGGAAAAAAATATCAGTACTCGTTACCGAAATACCGTTATGGGTGCATCCCTATTATTAATGTCAATGTTATTCACGATTAGTGTATAGGGAAGATATTACAAGTCAGTTCAGGTGTCAGAGCCCCCTTACCAAGCCAGTACCCAGATTGTGTGCCCTTTAAATGGATCTGTTAAAAGTTATTGACTGTGCTTTGATATTTTTTTCTTTAGCAGATAATTATTACAACATGGCTGGTCGTGATGTGCCGTTCAGTTTCTCGTCTTTGGACACGTCTATCTCCTCCCTGAAGAACTGCCAGACTTATGTAGACACAGGGATGGACATTGCGACGAGTGTGGCGTTGGATCTTCTGCAGAGCGGATGTAAGTTCTGTTTTCATTTTCCTTGTTTGATGACTTCTCTTCATATAGATCGGTAGAAATCAGACTTTAGTATTTGACCAGCTGGTGACTGTAATTTGTAAAGCGAGGGTATGTTGTAGCCCAGTTTGTACATTTTAAATATTAATCATCTGGAAGCAGTCACAAGCATTCACTTATTATGTTCGCAAACAAATCGGTTTGCGAACAGGAAGTTCGGAAGAATATTGCATCCGTTCAAAAACTCCGCATCGGGTGACGAACACAACCGCAGCCATCTTCCCCGCTCTGACACGTGGTCGTACCTTCTTCTAGTCGAGATCACGGTCTGATCACAGTTTGATTCGGTTTGCGACCAATTTGGTTCACGACCAAAATCGTGGAACAAATGAAGTTTGTGAACCGAGGTACCTCCGTATATAACTTTTTCCAATAATGGTTCTCTTGATAGTTCACCCTCCCTACCTACTGATATTTACCTTTTGCTTTACTTCCCCATCACTCTTTTTGCATGCCAGAGCCCTATGCCTAATCCCTATGTAACCTCTGCGTTGGTCAGTGAAAGAGCTTACACAGGGTTAAAGGCATACTCCACCTGTCGTACCATGTTTCATGTTACACCTGAAACCATCACGTGGTGTTTCTCCTTGTAGATATCTGTTTTGTTTTGAATTTAGCATGGCTGCGTGTGGTTCCATTTGCACAGCTGTGTCATCTATTCACAGGGATCCATTTTTGAATGCGTTTTATGTAATATCAAATTATGGCCACTAGATGGAGCTACATGGTAATAGGAAATTAGTATTTTCTATTCTGCTCATCGCCATCTGGTGGTCTTAATGTGATATTACAAGACAAGAACATTCGGAAATACATTCCCTTGTAATAAAAAAAAACAACTAAAGAATGTGCATTGTGGCATATAGCCTCACAAAATGAATGTTCACAGATATTTTATTTAGTTTATGAATAGACCACATAGTCTGTCCCTCCTGTGACATGACAGCGAAAGTCAGCATTGCTTAGGTAAAACTCTGAACAGTGTCTCTAGTTTTCCTCTTTTACCTGTTTTGAAATGGGAAATGCATTTCTCTACTTCCATGCAAATAGGTTACCGAGATTGTTTTTGTGAAATTTGTAAAATGTGACCTTACAAAGTATGAAAACAGTCAAGCCTTTAGAATCGTAGGACAGTCTCAATGATGTATAATGAATGGAGCTGAAGACATTCACTTCATTAGACTGTCCACTGTGTGGGACAAAATCCTTGGTGGATAATACAGGAGACCCATGGCTGCTCGGTCAGTGTGCATGCATTGCTCTTGCAGTTTGCATAATCCACTTATTGTAAGCAGCAAATATGCATTTCTGGAAAACGAGATGGACACCTGAAGGGGAGAAGATGCAGGCTGCAGTGTGCTCAACCACAGAAATCCAGAGAGGGAGACTACTATTATAATACAATGTTACAGACTTTTCCTGTCTATGTGGTTTGGTTTCTTAAAGCCGTGCCTTTACAGTCAAAATCAAATTCTACCAATGCATCCCTCTTTGTATGATGATTAATAATAACATGGACATGTCAGGTGTAAAATACTGTGATTGTGAACTACTTACACTTGCAGAACATTCACTTCCTGCTTTGAAAGGGCAAAATGACTTCAGTTTGCCAAAACAATGCACACTTGGATTGCCTTGCCATCAGCAGAGCATTGCTGGGAAATCTCATCTGTAATCTCAGGAGATCTCGGGGAAAAGCATTTTCCTCCCCTGAGATGATGTGCATGGTCACATGTCCTAGTCACATGTGCCAGAAGTACATGGAGAGTTAGTAATCTACCCTTAGTAAACATGGCCACTGTCAGACTGGGGACGAAAAGAAAAATAAGTTATGAAAAGAATACAAAGCCGGCAATTATCTAGAAGAATGTGTTTGTAGATTGTCATCACTAAACATTTCTAAAGGTGTCTTTGTTGTTATTTTAAAGATATGGGGAAAGGTCCACTTTAATAAACAGCAGGCAAACTGCAGGAGTACACATTGGCTGTACCACCTTGACAGTGCATTCCCCTTGTGTTGATGAGGGTCCAGGGTCCTGTATGGTGCTAAATTAGGGTTTATATTTTTCTGGCCAGGGGTTGTATAGGTTATTCATTTAATATGTGGGGTGGCATACATGATAAAAGATTATTGTTGTATTATTTGTGTCTCCATTTTAGCATTATGGAGGCACAGCAAACATTCCTTCAAGTTCAATCACATTGAGAACTCCCAAAGTTATATCATATGATCTGAGTGTAGTGCTTTACTTGCGGAGAAAGTTAAACTGCTTAGAAATGTCAGGGCTCCTTTAATGTGCAAGTGTGCTGAGCATATTTGCACATTAAAGCATGCTTCGCTTGTGAATGACCCTCTCCAGTGATGTGATGGCCATGCTCCCCCTTGTCTTCAATGCTTTCTTCAGCGCGGCTCTGCAATGTCAGATTGTTGTTGTTGCCGTTGTAATTGTTATTATTATTATACAGGATTTATATAGCGCCAACAGTTTGCGCAGCGCTTTACAATACAAGGGAGACATTACAATCACAATACAATTCACAACAAGATGGTAAGGAGGGCCCTGCCCCTGAGGGCTTACAATCTAAAACATATAGTTTAGTAGCCCTCAATTTGCTGACTTTGGGGTCACAGGAGGACATTATTAAACCAATCCTGTGACCCAAAAGAGAACCAAAGCCAAACAAAAAGGTTTAGCTTATGTTCTCTATTGAAGCTTAATTAAAGCTAAAAAATACAAAATGTGTCTGTGACGACATGGTGATCAGTTTATAAGTTAAATGCGTATTGGGGTTGAGTTATGTTTTGAGTGCGTTATGCTGTGTGACCTGGTTATGGAAAGACTATCAGCCCCATCCCTCGTTATCTCCTATTGTTCTCTGAGGGAGCTCAGAACAATGACATTCTGGCCAGGCTCCTGCTATGGCTGTCTGGAGTTCGTTAGCAGGTGGACACCTGTGGTGTTATGAAGACAAAATGTCCAGGGAGGGGACGGGGGATGTGATTGGATTATATTCTGATCTGATCACTTTCTGTATATAAGTTTGTGCAGTTGCTCAATAAATGAGAGTTTGTTTACCCTACACTCGAGCCTTGGCTAGTGACTGGGGAAACTGGGAGCTACAGATCAGCGGGTTCCAATATCTCCTCAGCAAGGAAGAAGACAGCGGCGGACATACTCATCCTGAGTACGGGGGTCCGTCACAGTGTCCCCAGGAGTTTTGGCCATAATGTGATTGTATGCACGGCATATTAGCCCATTATGGCAGACCTACCTGCCAAACTGATCCCCGACTCGGCAGAGCTGCACTTCTCCCTCAGTGGCCTAATGTACAGAAAGAAAGATTGTAGAAAGCTTTTATGGCGGAAGAGTCTCTTATGCTATAGAAAGCTTCCCAATCGGCAGTTTTTATTTTCAACATTCCACTTTCTTGTAATACTATCAGGCTGCATATACAGCAAGGCATTCTATGGGGTGTTAAGCCTTGCTGTGACACTTCGCTGATGATCCTGCCATGAAGGTCCTTGTGTGACATTTCCTGCTTCAGGGGTAAAACTTTCTTTTCCTTTCTTCCAACTGTGCTCCTACATTGTCACCCTGTCACATGATCTATATAGGTCTACTATAAGCTGCGATCAGAAGAGTGGCATAACCCATTAGGCTTGCATACATTTTATGGCATGAAGCCTTGGCTGGCATGCATGTAGTTGTGAAAGGTCTGCAGGAGATCAACAGCACTGAGATGCAGCAAACTATAAAACATGTAAAAATAGGAGTTTTGTTTTAAAAAGATGAAGCATTACTATATAACAGTCTCAGGAAGAATGCTATAAGCCTGTCATTATGCCTTCTCTGAAGTGTCCGGTAGGTGGGGAAAAAATACCCATTGACATCAAAGCAGGATCCCGTGATCATCTATAGTGAGGGAGCTTTTCATGCTGGCCAGCACGGGGCTTGTCAGAGTTTCACCATATACAAACATTTCAGCAGCAGTCAGCAAACGTGTGCCTTCTGCTGGAAATCCACTGAACACCCAAGAAGTTGGCAGGATCAACAGGTAATATACACTATATTGTCAAAAGTATTGGGACGCCGGCCTTTACACGCACATGAACTTTAATGGCATCCCAGTCTTAGTCCGTAGGGTTCAATATTGGGTTGGCTCCGCCCTTTGCCGCTATAACAGCTTCAGCTCTTCTGGGAAGGCGTCCACAAGGTTTAGGAGTGTGTCTATGGGAATGTTGGACCATTTGTGAGGTCAGGTACTGGTGTTCTATCGGGTTGAGGTCAGGACTCTGTGCAGGCAAGTCAGGTTCCTCCACCCCAAATTCACTCATCCATGTCTTTATGGACCTTGCTCTTTATGGACCATGTGCACTGGTGCGCAGTCATGTTGGAACAGGAAGGGGCCATCCCCAAACTGTTCCCACAAAGTTGGGAGTATGAAATTGTCCAAAATGTCTTGGTATGCTGATGTCTTAAGAGTTCCCTTCACTGTAAATAAGGGGCCAAGCCCAACCCCTGAAAAGTAATCCCCCCCCCTCCACCAAACTTTACACTTGGCACAATGCAGTCAGGCAAGTACCGTTCTCCTGGCAACTGCCAAACCCAGACACGTCCATTGGATTGCCAGACAGAGAAGCGTGATTGGTCACTCCAGGGAACACGTCTCCACTTCTCTAGAGTCCAGTGGCGGCGTGTTTTACACCACGGCATCCCACGCTTTGCATTGCGCCTGTTGATGTAAGGCTTGGATGCAGCTGCTAGGCCATGGAAACCCATTCCATGAAGCTCTCTACGCACTGTTGTTGTGCCAATCTGAAGGCCACATGAAGTCTGGAGGTCTGTCGTTATTGACTCTGCAGACAGTTGGCGACTTCTGCGCATGCGCTGACCCCGCTCTGTCATTTTATGTGGCCTACCACTTCGTGGCTGAGTTGCTGT